AATTTCTGTCAGCTCAGTGAAAACTGGTGAGAACATTGAAAATAAAGCTATCCATCTTCAAGGCGTTGTGCAACATAAAACGCTAGTATTATATTATAGTAATCAATGGAATTACGTTCAAGCTATCATGCAGGTGCATCTCTGAATTTGCTTCACAGCAACATCTACTTTCCGTTTAAGCCTCTTTTCCTCACAAAAAGGTCGATCTGCTGTCATAATGTTACTTCAGAGGAAATTGATCGAGACTATTAGCAGCTTATTCAGTCGTACTTAGTATTGAGGTTGATGGTTGTTCTCATCAGTACTTCAAGAGGGATTGAGAGGCAAGGGTAAGTCACTAAACTGAGAGAGAGAGAGGGGGGGGTGGGGTGTTAGACTTTTTTCTTTGGTTGTTTTGCTGTTGTTGTTTTGTGCATATTACGGCCGGAACATTCAAAAATTTTGGCCGAAGAGAAAACAATTTCTGCTCAAGTCTAAGGGTAATTATTAGCCTTTAAAATTTGGAAGGGCACATACATACACATACTTTCATACAGACACACACTCACACACAAACACACGCAAACACACACACACACACACACACACACACGCACACACACACACACACACACACACACATTCATACAAACACATACAAACACACAAACACATATTTATATACACACTCACATGCACACACAAACTCACACACACACACACACACACACACACACACACACACACACACACACACACAGAGAGAGAAGAACGTACACATAATAATATAAATAGATACACACATTTACATAAACACACAGAGTTGTATGTTCTCAATTTGCTCTCATAATGAAACAGGGTCACACTTGCATACCCTATCGCAATTTCCCCCACCACAGTTGTTGTTTTTTTTTCTTTGTTGTTTTTTTTTTGGGGGGGGGGGTTCTTTGTTGGTTTTGTTTTGTTTTGTTTTGTTGCTGTTGTTTGTTTTTTGGGTGGTTTTTTGTCTTTGTTTATCTTTATCCCACAATGCCCCAGTGATATTCTTGGATATCTCTTGTCCAGTTCTTTACTACTGAAAAAATGATTAAGTGTGTAGGCATTCAGTCACTGCTCAATAAATCGTGCATTTTAATAAGCCACATGTTATACGCTGTCTCCAAATGCACACCCATGCAGAACACTAGAAACCTTATCGGCTCAAAAAGGGCTCTTTTTGTCTGATAAAATACTCAAGATCTAATAACTGTTTCATCTGTTTTTCGTTAGTTTTAATAGGAGTGGGCAGCTAAAGTTTATACTACGTTCAAGTGGCTTATTTCTTCTCTCTTTTTTCTCTTTCTCTCTCTTTCTCTTTGCCTGTCCCTTCCTCTCAACCTCTCAGGGTCTGTCCGTCTCTCTGTCTGTTTCTCTGTCTGTCTCTCTGTCTGTCTCTCTGCCTCTTTCACGCCCTCCCAACCTTTCTGTTTCTCTGTCTGCCTATCTCTCTGTCTCCCTCTGTCTGTCTCTCTCCTTTTCCCTCGTTCTCTTGCTTTTTCTCCCTCCACACTCTCTCTCTTTCTCCCTCTCTCTCTCTCTCTCTCTCTCTCTCTCTCTCTCTCTCTCTCTCTCTCTCTCTCTCTCTCTCTTCTCTGTATGTGTGTGAGTGTGTGTGTGAGTATATATCTCTGTATCTCTCAGTGTCTCTTTCTCCCTTTCTTTCACTCTCTCTATCTCTATCTCTCTCCCCCTCTCCCCCCTCCGTCCCTCCCTCTCTCACATAACCAGTTGTCACTTTATCTAATAGTTCTCTATTCAGGTAAAACGCTCGGCCTAACTGAAACTGGCACGCAGGCTTCTCCAGGGATCCCCGGCTATAAAAGGGGATCAATTGAATTACTTCATTACCCAGGAACACACAGACCGCCTCCATAAACGAAAAAGCCACCGCCCCTCTAAGCAATTTCCCCTAATAATTCCTGCTGTACTTTTTCACGTCTGCTCAGAGAGCCGGGGGTGAAAGGTCATGACCTCGGAAGAGGGGAAAGTGACGACGGTGTGCAAAGAGGAGGAAAAATACCCCAAGACTTGATAATGATATTACATGTATCATGTTGTCAGAAGTAACCATTCACCGCGCGCTATGATCGTTCTGAACTCGTAACTATTTAACGTGGTTGTGATTTAGTTTTAGTTTTAGTAAGTTGTTTTTTTACGGCGCTCGAAACTGCATATGGTCATATGAGCGCCAAGGGGTGGATGTAAACAGAGAAGTCCAAACGGGGAATCAGACTTACGGTACTCTGCTCACCTCTCTAGCCTCAACAGTTCAAAGTCTGCTTCGACTACCAAGGCACCCAGGAAAAAAGCAGTTCACAAGAGAGTGACAAACATACAAAAGAAGTAGCGGAAAGAAGATGATAGTAAGGATGAGGAAAGAAAAAAGCAGCAGTTCCCCCTATGTTGTTCCGGCACAGTGTGAGCATGTCATTGACAAATCAGCCCATTTACAAATCTATTTTGCAAAAGAACATGGTAATATCCCCCCTGTGGGAATGGCCTAAATTAGACAACTTCAGTCAGTAGCACTGCCCCCGGAGGGTGTTGTGTGTGTGTGGGGGGGGGGCTTCACGACCTGGGAAAACGGGAAGTGATGACGGTGTCAAAAGGCGGTAAAAATACATCAAGACTAATAATGATATCAGGTAGTCGGAAATAGCCAGAGGAAGGCAAAGAATAACATGGATTGACAACATAAGAACATGGAAGGGCCTGGATATGGCAGAAAGTGCAACAGCAGCTCGCGGCCGTGAAAGATATAGGGTCATTACACGTCAACCTCTAAGTCAGAGATGACACCTCCAGTTATCCAGGTCGTCGGAAACAACCGTCCGCCGTTAGGGTCGTTATGAACCCATGACTGGTTTGTGTGACTGTGATTTGTAGACCCCATTGCTGCAACGCAAGACAGATGGAAGTGGAGATCCATGATCGCCCACGCCAGCCGGCAAGGCACCGGATGATGATGGTTTGTAGACGTTTTATTTACTCCACTTTCGAGGCAATTTCGATCATTCAAGTCCAGAGGCGGGTAGCGTCGGCCCCTGCCTGTCAGAGCCAACCCACGGGGAAAGGGACGTAACATACCAGCAGACAGACAAAGATACTTAAAAAGAGATGCTCAAATAAAACACCCCCACCCCTCCTCCTATTCTCCGTCTCCCCCCCCCACCCAACATTTTTCTTCCCCCACCCCTGATGTTCTCATCAGTCAAATGACCATGGAGCTGTGTGAAGTCGGACATATCTCAGTGGTGACCTTTGCACCCCCGCGCCCACATGATTTGTGGTGAGATCAAACAGTACAGTATTGACAGATATAATTATACAGATTAACGGAAAGTCACACAGATTGGTCCATGTGTCTATAGACGTGGGAAAGTAAACAGACTATGGAGTTACAGTTGGGTAGAGAGAGAATACATGTGATTGTTTTAGTAAGAGTTTTACGGCACTTGCAACACAATAAGGTCATATAAGTGCCGAAGATTAGATGTGTTACAAGAGAGTAAAAAGAAAAAAAAAAGAAGGAGGGGGGATAAGGACGATAGATGTTTGATAGGGAAGAAGAAGCAAGCCACACCAGAGCACCCGCCAACCACCCACTGAATAATTGTGAACATTATGCAGAATAGATATTATTAATACATGTAATAATAATAATAATAATAATAATAATAATAATAATAATAATGATAATAATAATAATAATAAAAATAATAATAATAATAATAATAATGGGGATTTATACCAATCCCTAGAAGGCTCTAAGATAAATAGATAGATAGATAGATAGATAGATAGATAGATAGATAGATAGATAGATATGCCAAGGTCTTGAGTAAAGAGCCTTGCCTTGATCCAAATCAAAACAGCGGAGTGGGCGTGATAAAAATCTGATTTGACCAAACGTTGCTCGCCATTTACCCGTGTGGATTGCTGGCCTTCTCGGCTGGGTGAACAAAATGGGGGAATGGGTGCGTGTTTGGGGGGGGGGGGGGGATGTGGGTATCTGAGCACCGGCCATAACCTGCCGGATCATTGATTTCTGTTCCAAGCTTGGGTGAGGGGGCGGAGGAGGGGGAGGAGGGGGAGGAGGGGGAGGAGGGGGATGGGGTGAGGTGACAAAATTATTGGGCGTACAATTTATTGCTCGAGAATGCATGCATATTATATCCGAGTCAATAAAATTGCTGCAGTGAGCAAATATTGGAGCACATTTTAAAGGATTGGGGCTTTAAGTTATTTCTTTTTCTTAAAATATATTTAGCTATTTTGTTATGTTTGCTTTATCTTTCTTAACGTCGTCGTTTTTTTTTTGTTTTTTTTTATTTTAAACTAAATTATCAAGCATGAAGTGACTTTTCGATCATCTTATATCAAGCCAATCATTTATCTTGTTTTTTATTTTTGGTGTGAGTATTAATTGTTCCAGTAAAAGTCAACATCCGTTTGTCTTTTGTTTTTGATTTTGTTTGTTTGTTTGTTTTTTTGCTGTTGGCTTTTTTTTTGGGGGGGGTGTTTTGTTTGTTTTGTTTTGTTTTGTTTTTGTTTTGTTTGGGGGGGGGTGAGTCATGTACTTGTTTAATTATTACTGGAAACGTTCTTACCTGTGAATGAACTCCCTTTTTTCTGCAGACAGTTCCCAGGACTTGTCGTGTTTTCTCACAGTGAGTAATCCAGAAATAGATCCAGATAAGAATAATGTCGCTCGGGCGTGAAAAATGATGATTTGGGTAATTCTATTATGAGTCACACCATGATAGAATCATCCACACGCCTCTTTTTGCAGGAGAGTCACACCATGATAGAATCATCCACACACCTCGAGATCGCTTTGCTAGAAAATCACAATAGTCAGTGTAAGAACTGGCTCATGCTGGAACCATGAGTGACAGATTCTCAGAGAGTTCCCTGTACCATTACGTTTTGAATACAGTAAAACGACGAATGTTAGCAAAGTTATTTGGGTGTTTCGTTAA